AGTCAAAACAGGCTTGGGAGCGAACAGGGTGGGATGACTCACCCTTCAGTAACAGCAGTAAAACCCTGAAGACCGTGAAATGGTATCATCAAAGTGTTTGGAGGCCAATGCCAGTCCTTACCCAGCTAAGCTAGGGCTCAAGAGATTAAAACACTAAGAGACATCACTGATCACAGACTGTCGCTGAAAGAATCACTGGTATCAAAACAATGGTGAGCAAAGAAATTGACAAATGTGGATAACTCTAAACTAGCACTGACTATAAATAAAAAAATGCGACCAATTTGCACAGTACAAAATTAGGTAGAAATAAAATACTGAATAGTAATAGGTGAGATTGGGAGAAGGTTTTCTTAGTTTAAACAATCTAGACATCAGGGAAGAGGGTGGGAGATAGTTGATTAAGTTAAAATTTTAAAGTTGGTGTGCATGTTGACATTTTAAGGGGACTAACCGAGAGAAAGGAAATAGAATGTATTTCCTAGCCAGTAGCCCAGATAAAAAAGGGAATTAAGAAAACGAGATCAATCCAACATAAGGCAGTGAAAATAATGAAGATAACGAAGCAAAAAAGAAAGCATTATAACTCATACAGAATAAGATGGTGGAATTAAATCCAAATACAGTTGCCCCTCGAACAACACAGGTTCGAACTGCCTGGGTCCATTTGTATGTGGGGTTTTTCCAGTAAAGTACCGTAAGTGCATTTTCTCTTCTTTATGATCTTCTTTTTTTTTTTTTTAAAGATTTTATTTATTTATTCATGAGAGACAGAGAGAGAGAGAGAGAGGCAGAGGGAGAAGCAGGTTCCCAAGGAGCAGGGAGCCCGATGCGGGACTCGATCCCAGGACCCTGGGATCATGACCCGAGCCGAAGGCAGACGCTCAACCATCTGAGCCACCCAGGTGCCCTTCTTTATGATCTTCTTAATGACCTCTTTTCCCAGCTTACTTTATTGTAAAAAGACAGTACATAATACATAAGTCATTTAAAATACGTGTTAATCAACAGTTTATGTTATCAGTAAGGCTTCTGGTTAACAGTAGGCTATGAGCAGTTAAGTTTGGGGGGAATAAAGGGGTAACTTTTTCCTCAGGGGTATGCTGCTTTTTTTTTTTTCCACTTAACATCTTCACCATAAACATTTTTCATTTTTTTAAAGGCTTTTCTGAAAAACAGTTAAAAATCCAATTTGCCTCGGTGTGATCAGCACCTGCATATAGCCCTGTTCACATCATTGCTTCGCTGTGACTGGACTTGGCCTTGGTTTTCAGGTTTTCATGATCACCAGTACTGTTTCAGTGAATATCTTCCTAACACATAGAATTGTATCCTTGAGAATATAATCTCAAATGAAGAGAATTTTGTTAGAAATGAGTATTCCCCCCAAAAAATCTTTGTTAATTGAACATTAAAAAATGGGTACTTTATTTTAATTTTTTCTAATTAGTGAGGTTGGCTATCTTTAAGTAGTTTTCTCTTAATTACCTGTTTATATCCTTTGCCTGTTTATAAGTTTGGGCTCTAGTGAGGTTCTTTTTCTTATCAAATTATATGAATTCTTTATACTCAAAAATTATTTTATTTATTTTAAAGACTTATTTATTTTAGAGAGCAAGTGAATGAGCGTGAGCAGTCGGGGGTGAGCAGAGGGAGAGGGAGAGAGAGTCTCAAGCAGACCTCCCACTGAGCATGGAGCCTGACACAGGCCTCCATCTCGGGACACTGAGATCACGACCTGAGCTGAAATCAAGTCAGACACTCAACCAGGCGCCCTAAATTTTTATGTATTCTTAATGTTTTATTATAAAAGCAGTTCATACTAAGCAGCACATAGTATGCTCACATAGTTCAGGGGGTTACAAACTGAAAATAAATTTGCTTCCTCCTGCTGAGGCTGGTTCCCCAGAACTGGCCACTTTGGAACCATTTCTGGTTTTAGTTCTGATGATTGACCCCAGAGCTTTATTCCTACATTTCTTAACTGCCTTTGACTCCCTATTAGAGAGGTTGAGGACTACCACTCACTTTCCACAACATCTCCCTCTACTTTGAGGTGGTGGTTATTTCTCCTTCCCTGGGTGGTTACTTTTGTGACCCGAAGTAATAAAGGTACACCTCTCTTCCTTGACCCATCAACTTTATGGACACTGCAACTTAATCTCTTAAGTTAAAAGATGAGGAACATTGTGTCCTTATATTTCTTTACATCTCTTTTCTCAGTTGCCTCCCAAATCCCATAAGGTATTAATAACAGCCACATGCCATGGGCCAGGCACCATTCCAAACACTTTACAAAGAGTAACTCACGGAACACCATGTGAGGTATTTCCTGCTATTTCCCACCTATCTACGGACAGAGAAACTGGGATCCAGAGAAGGGAATTTGTCCAAGTTCAGGGAAGTAACTGGCTAAGATCTGATCCCAGAGGCCTCCCCTCTGAGTGTTCAAGTCCTTAATCATGGCGTCATGCTGCCTTTCGGCTCTGTCCTTTTGTCTTTATTTTGTAAAGGCCTTAACCTTTGAATTGTGTTCTGTCATCTCTTTCATGTTTTAGAACTCGTCTGAAAGTCTAGAAACCAATAAGTAACACTTAGGATTGTTTGTATAGAATTATGTACGGACCTAAGTGATAGTGTGCATTGGATGGGAACAAAATATCCCAGTAGACACCTAGACTTCCACTGGAGAGAGACTTTTACAAGTAAAAGGTGATGTGTATTATTTTTTTCTTGCTTTCATCAGTTATCAAAATCATGTATTTTAGTTTGCTTCATATTTAGACTATGGCTTTTCTGTACAGCCTTTTTTTAAGTTTTGGAGGCCTTTTTCATAGGGTTTGTTTATTTCTTGTTGACAGAGCGGCGTATACCCTCACCCTTCTACTGAGGTCACACAGTGTTAGACCGTTTGGTATGATTCCCTTTTCTTCTTGAAGAGCTTAGGGCTCTTTGATTCCCTGCTTTAATTTGTATCCCTGAGCTCTAGACTTCTTCCTGGGGTGCCCTACAACTGTCATACCACAATTATTTTTCTTTTTTCTTTTTTTAATTTGTTTTATTTTATTTTTTATTTTTTATTTATTATTATTTTTTTTAATACCACAATTATTTTTCACTGTCCTCATGAGTTAAGTCTACAGTTTCTTGGATCTCACTTCTACTTTATTATATTCCTTTAAAAACATATTTGGATTATTGGGGCACCTGAGTGGCTCAGTTGGTTAAGTGACTGCCTTCGGCTCAGGTCATGGTTCCAGGTCCTGGGATCGAGTCCCACATCGGGCTCCCTGCTCCGCGGGAAGCCTGCTTCTCCCTCTCTCACTCCCCCTGCTTGTGTTCCCTCTGTCACTGCCTCTCTCTCTCTCGCTCTGTTAAATAAATAAGTAAATAAATAAAATCTTAAAAAATAAAATAAAAAAATCTCTGTCTTTTTGTTTTAAATCTTTTCACTTTTGTTTTTAATTTCCAAGAACCCTTTCTTTTTCTCTTACAGTCCCTTCTTTATGGGAACCTGTTCTTGTTTTATGCTGCATTATCTGTTAAATATCTTAGGGTACTAAGTTGAACCTTCAAATGTTCTCTTCCGTGCTTTCAATCACCTCATTGTTCCCTCTGAGCTCATTTGGTCTTTTATTTATCTTGGTCTTTTTTGGGGATATGTTCTTTGGTTTTCCTCAAAGATCTGGTGATCTTTATTAGTCCCTTTGTACTTATGAGAGAATGAATACATTGCTTTATAAAATAAATGGCTGGCATGGCTTTTCGGACCTTGTTATTTGGGAATTTTTCTCCAACAGACCTTTCCCCTAAGTGGGAAGGACCAGTAGGGAACCGAGTACAAAGGTGGTATCTATCAAGTGACATCTTCATTTTAGGGTTTATGGGTGAGGAACGGGGAGCAGGCAGCCTGACCTCCTTAGCCAACCGCTGCTCCACCCCACTGTCCCCAAGACAAGAAGGGCTTGGTTCTGAGGTGTTCATACCACACAGGGAGCTCCCCCACTTTGCTTTTCTATTTTAGCCTAGTCTCTCTGTGTGCAGTGAGGCTGAGAGGGAGGTCCAGGTAGGCAGTGGGATCTGGCTGTGCTGTTTGTAGTGAGTCTGTCTCTCTCTCTATATATATATATTTATATATAATTTTATTTATTTATTTAATTTATTTATTTTTTACCAATTCAGGCCAGTTATCAAAACAGTAACAAGTTAGAGGTCGTTGGGAAGATGCTGTTTCTAGTAGGAATGAGAAGTTCAAGCTGATGTATAAATTGTCAGCAGACATGAAGGCTAAAACCAGAGTCTTCTATACATAACCCGAACAGATCCCGAGGGCGACATTGTTTTACAGAATAATAATAGAAGGTCAAAAGGATGACCCTGAAGGGTGTATAATGGTCTATTCAAGAAGCAAGGAAGCTCATAGCTTCAGATTTCCATAATGAATGATGGAAAATAAAATTTTGTTATTTTGAAGGGATGTAAGTTAGTGTCCTGGATTATTAGCTGTATGGGATATTGGACATGATGGGGTTAATGGAGTCCGATTCCATCAGTGTTGATGGAGTTCCTACGGTGTGCCAGGCTTTGTTCTAAGTGCTTTTTCACAGGGTTCATTTAATTTTTACAGATTGTTTATATATTTGTAATACATTAAATCTCTTGTAGAACGTAGCTAGATTGAATTAAGTCTTGATGGTATGTGTTTAGCCAATAAAGGAAATGTTTTGTCTTCAAGTCCCGCTTCATTCAGGGATTCTGCCCTGATGTACTTGACACAGGGAGCAGTCAGGACAGCCCCCTAGATTTCTTCAGCAATGAAGAAATTGGGAGTCAGTGAGACTGAGCAGTTTGATTATGCTCACATGGCTTGGATGTGATAGAACCAGTTCTAGAACACAGATTACTGTCTCTAGGGTTCCCATGTGGTTGGACTCTGGGGCACTAATATTCTAACTCTCAGGCCCTCTGACTTCTTATGATTTGTGATTGTTCATTCTCAGCTGCCCCTTGGCTTTGGTGTGGCGGCCAGTGTCCGCGTGGGCAACGCTCTAGGTGCGGGGAATGCTGAGCAGGCTCGGTATTCCAGCATCACCGTTCTCCTGTGTGCGGGTGAGTTTGAGCGGTTCCGCTTTCCGGCGCCTGTCCTGAGTTTTGTCTGTTAAGTTAAAATACACACATCAGAATTTCTCTAGGGAATTGATTTACCTTTATAAACTCAACTGAAGTATTCCTTAAGCTCTTTCCAGTTCACTCAGTGAAATAAAACTTCTCATTATGATTTTCTGTCGTTAGGTACCAATGACATAATGTTACACTTGGTACCGTTGAAAAATGTTCCAGTTGTTGTCATCTGCAGGCTCATTTTCTGATCAAAGTCTCGGTGACTGCTTCTCCACGTTCCTGGATCCCTGTCTCCTCTATGGCAGCTTTAATGCTGTGGAATCTGAGCAGTTAGAGAAGATTCTGATTGTACTGACATCTTACTGACATCTTTCCTATGAATCTGCCTTAGAAAAAGGAGTCAGAATCATCTGATCATCTTTGCTCTCTTCACAGATAGTTAAGAAGAAACACTTTAAATTATCACATTTCTTTTTTTTTTTTAAGATTTGATTTATTTATTTGACAGAGAGATAGAAGAGCACAGAGGGAATGGCAGCGGGAGAGGGAGAAGCAGGCTCTGCACTGAGCAGGGAGCCCGATGCGGGACTCGATCCCAGGACACTGGGATTATGACCTGAGCCGAAGGCAGACGCTTAACCATCTGAGCCACCCAGGCGCCCTAAATTATCACATTTCTTAACTCATTGACACAACTATCTCCTGAGGATCCAGCACTGGGATTTATTGCACTTGGGAGAATTTTCATTTCTGGTTGCTTCTTCTGTATTTTCCAGGTGTTTGTGCGCTCATAGTGGGCGTTTTAATTGCGGCTGTGAAAGATGTGGTTGCCTACATATTTACCAGTGACAGGTATGTACTCCTCTTTTTGAGAAATGTTTTCTGTTTCATGCTTGCTTTTTTTTTTTTTTTTCCAGTGTACTTTTCTGGTTCTAAGAGGTGAGTACTATTTTCCTTTGCAGGAAAATCCACAGTGCAGCCAGGAATGAGAACCACAGTACTAAATTTGAATGAATTTGGGTGAAGGAAGCCCATGGTAACCATCCCCCTTCATCCAATACCCACTTTCTTTATTTATCAAACCTGAGTGGGGTTTCTCTTGTGCTCAATGCTGGTTTTTGCTCAGAGACACAGAAAAAGCACATGCAATATCTTCATCCCCAGAAAGGCACCTCCCAGTGCACAGCATATGGACTCCCTGCACGCCTGAATCAAAAGGGCAGAATTTGTATAGATCACTAACTCAATCTTAGGTTGAATTTTACCATGTTTTCTGTAATTATGTGTTTGCACAATTGTCTTGATATAATGAAGTGTCTTTTGTATAAACCAGATCCTCTTTATGAAAAAGCTTCAGTAATTTGCACTGGTTGCCTCAGATTACTCCTCTGAAGAAATTCTTTTTTTTTTTTTTTAAAGATTTTATTTATTTGATAGAGCGAGAGAGCACAAGCAGGGGCAACAGCAGTGGGAGAGGGAGAAGCAGGCTCCCCGACAAGCAGGGACCCTGATGCGGGGCTCGATCCCAGGACCCTGGGATCATGACCCGAGCTGGAGGCAGACACCTAACCATCTGAGCCACCCAGGTGCCCCGAAATTCGGTTTTATTACTTAATAATACTTTTGACAAACATCTCTCAGAGATCAGTGCTAGCACTGGGCAAGTTTGAGTCAGATGAAATAAAGACAGCCTTTCAAGTGGAGTCTAAGGAACAAACAGACAGGTGGTCTATCTGCAAAATAATAACTGTTCTTTGGGCATGAAGCTTTGAAAAAGTTCAATTCATTCTTCCTCCTCCAGTCTTGGAAATATGGGCTGTTATTTTTCAAGGTTACAGCTGAGCTGGGAGCAGGGGATGGTACTAAGGTCGGTTAAAACACCACAAAGCTCGTCATTATTACCAAGATGGATCAACTTTTCTTTTCTTTAAATTTTTTATTGTTATGTTAATCACCATACATTACATCATTAGTTTGTGATGTAGTGTTCCATGATTCATTGTTTGTGCATAACACCCAGTGCTCCATGCAGAATGTGCCCTCTTTAATACCCATCA